TTCCTGAAATGTGCAGTACCTGCAAATGAGGATGAGCTCCTCTGAATTAACAGCTTGGAGAAAGCCACTTCAGACCTAAAACATACAGAAAATGTCAGAGAAATGAGAAACATCTTTTAGCAGCTACCCTAAGTTATGACAAGAAACCTAAATCTTTTCATTTTCTCTTTCACAAAGTACTTCCACTTTCCTCCCAAGAACTACCAGATCCTATTGGTGTTGGTCAAACCTCTGGTGACATTGCACTTTTCCCACAGTTCCTCTTCTCTTTTTTTGTCTTTGAAATGTTTGCAGGGGTAAGAATGGTCACTAAGCATGTTTAAACACGTACCAAGCACAAAAAGACCCACATTTCTGTGAGACAAACTATAATTTTCAGATATATGTGAATTTTAGTGGAAGTCCATTCATGTTCTTCATAATTATGGCAAAGACTGTGATTGTCTCTTGAGTAAAACACCAGGACAAGGTCAACTTTCAGTGATGGCCTCTATGGGAAACTGCTCTGAAATGTTAGATGTGGGTTAAGCCATAGTTTATGCAATTAATCTCTATGTTAATTGCTGGTTCCACCGAAGCAAACTGTTAGCAGGACTGTGCTGACTGTGAAGGAAGGACATGCCAAGAGTTCCTGCTAAAAGAAGCAGAGGATTGTGTTTCAGAGCTGGAGAGAGCTGGTGTCCTAGTCTGGGACACACTGAACCATGGATGGGCCCAGCAGAGCTGGTCTGTTTCCATGGGAACAGAGATTGGCTCCTCACAGAAGGCAAAGTGATGGAGAAATGTTTAACTCGGCCTGATGGTGGATAATTTGCAAGTGCCCAACATTTCTCACGGGGAAAGTTGGAGACACCTTTGTAAGGCAATGGAACCAGCAGGCACAGCACTGGCTGGGACACAGCTGGGTTGGCTGTGGCTTTCCCTGGAATTGGTTTCATCCCTGCTGGTGTCTCCAGGCTGCAGGACTCAGACAGACACCAGAGGTTGGACTGTTGTCGTTTGGGATGTCACACTCTGACAGCTGTATCTCCCAGATGCAATGGTTACAGAAGTTGTGCAGCACTGCACCAGTGCCTTCCAGTCTCCATTATTTCCCAAACAATTCCAAGGGACCCCAAAACACCTGAGGAGCTTGGAAAATTACAACCAGCTTAACCCCTGGATTATCTGATTAATCAGCTTCTTTCATATACTGCCTTTTCATAGACTCCCTCAACTCTCTTTGGAGACTAAAAGGTTTCCTGCCTACTCCATCAGACTCCCCAAAATCAGAACCATTCACTGGGAGCCCTGGATGAGCACAAACCTCTTTGGAGACACTATTTTTATGTTTTACCTGCTGTCAAGTCCAAAGCTGCCACCCAATTCCCTAATAGAAAGCTTTGCTCAAAGCAGTATATAGTTAATAAAAGTGAAATGAAAGTTCCACTCTGATTCATGACAAAATTGGAGGCTTTTTAATTTAAACTTTTTTTAAAATTAAAAAAAATAAATCAGACTTCTCATCACTTTCCACTACAGAACAAGTTCAAATGGTGCATTCTGATGCTAAGCAATTTAATTACTGGGGAAAAAAATTTTTAAAGCCCTCTGGAAATGGATTCTTGGCCTTATCAAACAGAAAACCTGATTTATAAGCTCTCAGAGCAGTGGTGGGAAGGAGCTGCAGTGGCTGTTGAGGAAGAGTTCCACTTAAGGCTTGTTATTGACCCTGCTGAATTTCTGAGTGGAGCTGCATGCAAAGAGGAGATGAAAAGCCCTGTTAAAAGTGTGAGAAATGGGAGATGAAAGGCCCTGCAGGTTTCCAAAGCATCCAGTGACCAAATGAATGAACCAGTAGCTGCTGTTGCCACCCACTCACCACAGGCTCAACCCTGTGCCCACTGAAAATGCTTCAGTTTGGCACAAAGGTATCGATATCACTGGTTTGTGGTGGGAAATTTCAGTAAGCTCAAGATGGTTTCAGTAGATGGCATTACAGGAGTTAGTAGCATGGCAAGGTTCATTGATTTTGCTCCCCTTCCCTCAGCCCCACAGAGCTCCCTCCTGGGCTCAGCCTTTCCTGCCTTTGCAAAACTCACACCACCCAGACTCAAATATTAACCCAATCATCAGATCATAGAATTTAGGGGTTGGAATGGACCTTACAGATCATCTAGTCCCAACCCCTGCCCTGGGCAGGGACACCTCCTCACTGAAGGCTTGTCTTGCTCCTGTTTAGGGGATAGGGTAGTAGGTAGATCATTTTCTTCCTCTTCTGGAGCCCTGCAAAGCCTGACCACCCCTGCAAGGCACAGCAGCCTCTGGGGCTGACCCAGCACCACTGTATGTGTGAGCAGTGTGAGCTGCACCAGAGCCAGAGCTACAGCTCACACCAGCCAAATCCTCACCAAAATACCTGAACTGCAGACCTGGCCTAGGCTTTCTGCAGCCACAGGGAGAGAGAAGCTCACCCACAGCACGAAGTGAACTGCAGACAGTGTTAGAGAGCATCCCTGGCTGCTGCTGGGGAGGTGACTGTGCTATCCTAGTGCTGTCAGGTGGGACAGAGGCAGCCAAAAAGTCCAGGGTGAGGTTCAGTCAAATAATTGGCTTTGTGGTTAGAGGCCAAACTAAAAATAACAAGAAAGTAGCATATCACTTTGGAGGGCCAAAATGTACTTGATGCATTTTGATGAGCCCCAACAGCAGCAAAGATGTTGGTTTCAAAGCACAGCTGTAACTTGGATATAGTAACAGGAAACATTTAGCTTTAGAAAAACTAAGATAAAACACTCTTTATAGACCCTTCTTTTTTTTTCCATACAGATCAAGTATTATGACTAGTGCCCATGCCCTAAAAATACATTTTTTTCAGGGAGTTTTCCCTTCTAGAAGAAAGCTTCACTCCTTCCTCCTCACCACCATCTGCAAATGAATCCCCACATTTCTCCTTCTCCCCCTCTCATGCAATGATGGTTTTTTTCCTGCTGCACCTCTCACCCTGCAGACTCTGCTTGCACTTCATTTCCCCTTTCTAAGTCTCTGTGCATTCCCTGTCTTCTTCAGACCACCAGGAAGGAAACATGTCAATTCTCCAGCACACCAGCTTCAAACTGCCCATGGAGTGAGTACCTTGGCACTCTGGAGCTGCTGCAGAGCTCTCTGAGCAGAGCTCTGTGCCCTGCTGGAGCTTGGGGAGCTTGCAAGACTTCCTCACTGCTTTGGCAACCCCCACAGGAGGGGTTTTCTCTTCCTCCCTTGTCCTCCCCTCCAAAAATGCCAGTGAGTATAGAAAACCAGGTATTTAAGAATGCTTCAAACATCCTAAGGAGTTAAACAGAGGCGAGCTCACCTGTAGGACAGGTATTTTGGAGAGCATTGGCTGTGTTACCCAGTGATCAGTTCCCATAGCTGTGCTGGAGCAGCTGGGAGAGCTGCTCTGGAGATCTCCCTGGCACACATGGTGTCAGCAGGGTGAGGTGCTGGTCTGGGAGGTCCTGCTGCTAACAAACTTATCTCTCTCATTTTTCCAGAGTTTGGATTTTACTTCTAAATTTCCCACCTTCCATATTCATACAAGCATTTACATGAGGACTTGCAAATCAGGAGTGTTCTCTCTACAGACATGCAGGTATCTAAATGTGCAGACACCTGCACACTTCTCAGGGTTCTTAATTTAACCAGAGTCTTGAAAAGCTTTCTCAGTTGCAAAAGGTAACTCTGAGCTCCACTTCCCATGTGCAAATAAATGCCTGGGCCTCCCCCAGCCCCCGGAGGTGCTGCAGGAATGGGCACATTGGTTTCTTTTGCTTCTTTCTCTTTGCAAGACCACAGAGCTAGATGGTAATTTAATTTCCTCCACAGCTTCTCTCTTTGTATTGTGCTGGTTTCCTTCATGTTTTAATTGTTCTCTCTCCTCCTATACCTCAAATTCAGTGATCAAATCATATCACTGAA